TTAATGGTAACTAAAATTGCTGCTGTTTCCATACTCCCTTCCCACTCCACTTCCTCTTCACAAGTCCTGGTCTAGTGGGAGGTGTCCCTGCCCATGGCAGGGGGTTGGAAATGCTTGATCTTTAAAGTCCCTTCCAAACCAAATAATTCTAAAAGTTACCTCTGCTGTGGCACATCAGAAATGGCTGGGAGAGCAATATTGAGACTCTGCACTGAACCTACATAGCAAATACACCCAGGCTGTGTGTTTGTGCGTGTTGCATGAGAAACCTCCACAGAAAGTGAGTTCTTAATGCAAAATTCAGCCCCCAAAGCATTAAAAAATACTGCTACTATGAAGAGACTTTAAAATGGTTTGTTTTGAACAACTGTGGCAATGGCTGAGACTCAATAATCCAGTTTATAATGTAGCCCTTTCTTCCCCAAAGCTGCCTGGACAGAGCAGGGGTGAGACACAACTTGTGCACACCCGTTTGTAGCGGTTTCTTCTCACCATTAAAGATCAGGGCACTTCCAGGGGGAGAAACAGGCCAAGGCTTTGTAGCCAGAAATCATGGAGAAGCCAGGGACATTAACACACAGTTCAGGTGGAATTGCTGTCACTGAACTTCAGTGCAATAGTTTTATTTCTTAGTATTGGGGGAAAGATGTAAGTGTTGTAGGGACAAGAAAGCCATGGGGGGCACCTGGGCTGCAGACAGCTGAATTTGGGAAAGGTAAGTCCCACCCTTTAGGACTGAACCCTGTTTCCAGCCCCAAGGAATGCCTGGGTAGCACTGAAGTACTTGTTGCTTCACGCCTGCCTGATGGGAGGCTGGAGGCACATGAGAGTAGATTAAATCAGCCCAGCTGTGTTATCTCCTTCATGCTTCCCCTCAGAGCCCAGCTGGTGTTATCTCCTTCGTGGATTCCCCTCCGAGCAAGAGCGAGGTGCTGCAGGGACTCTCTGGTTCTGTGCTGCAGCCTCCAACACGCAGCCTCCTGCAGAGACTCACCCAGATGTTCCAAGGTACAGATGTGCCCTTTGCAGGGGAGAAAACACCCACCTAGGATTTTTAAATCAGTTTTCCCTTTGATTTGCTTCCTTCTGTGGGATTTGTCTTAACACTTTCAAGAGAACTGTGTATGTAACGTGGATAAAGCCCAGAATTAACCTTAAATGTTTTTTCTCCTCGTTATGTTGCACTTAATAGTGCACAGTTACACTTCCCATGTGCTGAGAGAGCAGGGAATTACCCAGTAAATGTTAGCAGAAGCCAACGTTTAGGCTTTTATTATCACTTGATAAAGCCATGTAAACCCCATTAAGGCTGAGAGGAGTTCTGTGTGTGTATCAGGGGAAAAAGGGACCATTTGCTCTCAAGTGCATGTAACTAATTAAAAATTTAAGCGCATATAGTACATAATTATATTAGACTGTAGGTTAATGCTCCTGAATGAAAAGTGCCAGATGAGCTGAAATGCTTGTACAGAACAGGAGAAACCCTGGCTGCCTCTGTGCAGTGAGATCGCGTGCTCTCCGTGAATAGTCCCAGTATTCCCTGCTCCAGGGCTAGGGGCTGACGGAAATGGCCCGTGACCTTGGTCAGGATCTGCCAGGCAGGAAACAATGCAGGGAAAGACAAGAGGACAAGTCCTGGCACCTATGAGCCTCTTCCACATCCTCTGCTGAGCCTGTTTCTGGTGGTATCTTACTCTCCAGTGCCAGCAGCAATGTCTTACTCCCTACCTTTCACCATCAGACAGCCTGTTGCAGCCATCAGATAAGCCCAGGTTTAAGGCAGGCTGCTCCCTTGGGAAGAGCCCAGTGCCATCAGACTCTAAATTCCTGTTGATACCAACCTCCAGAGCTCTTACAAAAATGTGTGCCTGCAGGAAGGCTGTCACCTCCCTGTGGGCACAAAGCCACCAGCCACCAGCATGGTCCAGATAGGATGCTCATGGGGGGCTCACCTGGAGTAGGAAACACAAATCCATACCTTCTGCTTCCTGTATAATTATATTTCAGTGCACAACACTATCTTAAGAGCCATGTTAGAGTTAATGTAACTGTAAGTAGCCAGTGATTTTTGTTAAAGACACAGATAATTGAAATAATTGCAGCAATTACAAAAAATCCCTTGTCCCTGACTAAACAAAGGCATGTGCAGGATACCTGGATGAAGAACGGCTTCTATGGAGCTGAAAAAAGAAGTCCCAGCCTCTGGCACAAAGACGATAAGTACAGTCCCAAGGAAAAGGACCATGAAAGAGATTTTATTATTGATTCTTCTCCAGATTAAGGAAAAGAAACCTCCAAAGTTTGTGTAAATAAAGAGAACAGGACCAAAGAAACACCCAGCTCTGCTACAGGTTTCCCATCCACCTAGAAAAAACTCACAGGGAATTGAAACCTCATATTTCAGTTAATATGCATTTCTGACAATCCTTACATTTTATGGCAAGATGAAAGTCCACGGGCCAGTGCACAGCCCAACTTTTTAGTGTGACTATCAGCTTATTCCCATTTCCTTATAATCCTTCTATGGGCTCAGAAATCCCCAGCAACACAAAAAACCCCAAACCTTTTAAGTTTCTATCATGTGATTTACACCCTTACAGCTGCTGCTGGTTTGAATTTCACATCCCTTCTGGAAGTGAAAGTTGAGCCGATTTTTTTTTCCCCCCTTTAACGATAAAAGAGCAGCCACTGAATTAATAGTGGGTCAGTGTGAGATAGATTAGAGCGTGGTTTGGCATTTATGCTGGGAATCTCCTGCCGTCCCCACCACCACCCACAGACGCCATAGCAACCACGGCGCGGAGGGGCTCAAACGCCACTCGCAGTTGAACGTGCTGGTACATGAATGCACTTCTTGTTTCACCATTGTGATGCTGAATTCATCTCAGCTGCAGTCGCTCCTTCGTGGAAAGCTTCGTTCCCACTGAAGGCAAAATAAACAAACAGCTCAGATTCTGCCTTTTTGGAATGTAGCTGTTGTGTAGAATTCAGCTGCGTGGGCAATTAGCGAAAGAGACCTCAAATTATGCATCACATTTACACTTGCATGGAAGCTTTCGGAGGTGCTGGAGGTGCTGCAAGAAAGTCGTTTTTGCAGCGAACACAAGGTTCAACCAGAAGAAGAAACAGTTTGTTGAGAACTTAATGCAGGACAATACTTGTTTTTCACCAGTGTTTGAATATTTAAGTAATTCATGCAATTATTCTGAAGTATAACAGCCTGAGTTTCACCAATGCTGTGTAAAGCTTGTGGAAGTCAATAATTAGCTGCAATCAAAAATATGCAACTTGTAAAAATGCAGGAATATTGTTGTTAGCACATTCTTATAATGTGTTAAGGACACTTTAAAAGTGTGCTAAAGCATCCAGCTTGTTCTTCAGCACATACTTTCTTCACAGTTTTTTCTCCCCATGAAAAGCTACCTCCAACGGTGTGGGCTTTTCTCAGCTGCTGCTGTGATCCCACTCTGTTCCACCCACTTCCAACTTCCCCATATCCCTCTGTATCACTTCCAGGCACTAATTACTCCATACTCCTTGTAGGGATCATTAGTCAAATATTTCACTCAAAACACTGCCTTACATACTGTCCGTAGACAGCTCTAAATCCAAGAACAAATTGTTCCTGTTACGTACTCACCATTTTTGGGTTTTTTTTCCCCTCATTGTGCTTCCAGCCATCTCCCAGTAGAGCTGAGAAGAAAACCCCCACACAAAGGGAGGGGCCGCACTCCAGGCAGGATCTGCATCCAGATGGATCATCCTGATGTGAACCACCCCTGTCTGACCTTTGTGCAACTGCTGTCTTGGCTACTGGCCTTTGAAGTGATGAGATAAGAGGTCTCCAAAAGGGGCAGGTAGGATGAGGGAAATAAATGCAGCTGATATATGGGCCCAGCAAAAAGCTTATTTTTAATGTCTTTCTCATGTACAGCATTCCGAAGTGTTGCTGCTCTCCAGCCTTTCCCTTTTTCTCTTGCTCGAGCTGGTCAGTGCATAATTCTTCCTTCCTTTTGGGGCAAAAGGCACAGCAGTTCCCTGCCTGAGCTTGTGATCTCTGTCCCTTGGTTTAGCCTCTCTCTTGAGAGATCAGACAAGAGCCTTGGAAGAGCTTGTCCTGAGACAGGCTATGCCACCAGATTCACATCTCTCAAACAATGCAACATTTCCTTGGCACCGGGATCAGAACAGAGACAGAAACCACAGAATGAAAACAAAGCTGGAGGATCCTGGCCCCGAATTCTTTGGCCACATTTACACTCAAAATCTGGTGCACAACAGGCTCCCAGTCCTGGCTTTGCTGGCTGGGATGACCTGCCAGAGCTGCAGTAGCTCTAGTTGGGCCAGGCACCTGGATTTCTCCTCGAGAGACAGGTCGGTGTGTTCCCCACCTAAGGTGGCAGGACATGACCAAGGCGTGTACCTGGTGTGGGAACTTGGACCAAGGCTGGTGACATGGGACATTCCTGTTGGCAAGGCTGAAGACAACTTTGGATATTGGATTTCTCCCTGGAGGTTCTTGGGTCAGTGTCCAGCCACCCCTTAGCTTTCTTTTGACAAGCTAAATGGACTAAGCTCCTTAAATCTCTCCCTGCAAGTCATCTTTCTCAGACTTGTGTACATTCTCGTGCCCCTTTCTTGAATTGTCTCCAGCTTTTCAACCTCCCCCTTTGCTTTGTGGACATAAGATCAGGGCACAATGTGTTGGCAGCAGTTTCAGGAGACGGGGAATACCCAGACAACATTATCATCCTCTTCTCCCTGGATTTCCGCTGCTTATATATACAAAGATTAGGGTCAGTTCATGGACAGTTGATTATTCATTTTGACTTGCAACCCGTTTTTTGGTCATGGCTTTCCAGTGTAGAACCATTGCAGCCCCCACCAGGCAAAGTTCTTCTTTCTCCGATCTTGTGACTTGGTTGCACTTGCTTACCTTCAGATTGCCAATTACCTCTTTGTATCAGTGACCTGATTTCCTTCTTTTGACCATTTTCCCAGCCTTTTTCATCTGAAAAATCTGCTGATAATGATTTAAAGGTTTTTTTCCTAAGCTGTTGATAAAATACAGTAGTGTAGAGCCAAGAACCAGTCCCTGTGGGATCTGTCCAAACACACGCCCACTCAAAGAAAATTTCTCTGGTTATAATTGTATTTAAGACCTGGAGTTAGCCAATTCTTAATCCATTTAATGTGTTTCACAGTGGTTTTGTATTGTTTTGGTTACTTCATCAACGTGCTGTACTGTTACAAGACACATTTCTTACAGAAGCCCAGCATCAATTCCCTCATCAGCCGGACTAGAAATTTAACACAAAACTCCCCTGAGCTGCATTAAAAACAGGGTAACGGGAGATACAGTGTTCAGCTGCCATGTCTGGGTATCAGCAGCAAGGTGGGCTCTCCAGCACAGCACTACATAAACTATCTTTGCCCCCACAGCCTTGCTCCTGGCAAGGAGAAAAGCTGCTGCACAGGGTGCTGGTGTTTCAGGCTCTCTCTTTGGAAGGTGGTTATATGATCCACTGAGCGATGTCCTGGAGGAGAGTCTGCTTTTTTGCCACCCCTTTGAAACCAGAGAATCTCTTGTTTGTAATTCCATAAAGGATTTGTAAGCTGAAGGTGTTCAAAAAAATTTCTGGGGTGTTGGAGGTAACCTCAGCCTTCCATTGGGATATCGACAACGTGCAATCCCTCTGTGGCTTCTCAAGCACTTGGAGGGCAATGTGGGTAAAATGAGACTTTGAGGCAGGATGTTTATCCTCTTCTCTCAGAGTGTTTGGTGTGATTTTTATCAGGGAATGAGGTTAATCAGACTGTCTTTCCTTTCTCCAGCTACAGCAGCATCTGCACAATATGCTCCGAATGTATTTGCCCTGTTAGGAATGGATGGAATGGGTTTAGGTCATGGTACATACTTTAGTGACCTGTAAATGGTATGGTCAGTACCAATTCAATAATTTCCCTGGACGCAAAGAGGGTAATTAAAAAAAAATGTCCTTTTCAAATACACCTTTTAACCTCAAAGGAAGGACCTGTGGAAGATGCTGGTCTGCTGTGGGAATGAAATTCATGTATTTGCATTAGCCTTGGATGTCTTGACTTCACCAAAAGGCAGACAACCCACAAATTATATATACGCACAAAATGAAACAATTGTTATCTGGATTTAGATTTGAAAATGAACAGGATGTTAATGAGATAATGTCTAGGCATGATATGTTCTCACACCTTGGCACAAGAATGTATAATCATGTCTTCTACACTGCCTGTTTAAAAGGATAGACTCCAGTGATACCTTTCCAGTATTCCATACCTATTCATTTCTGTACATATATTAGGATTAGATTATTTATAATTCCAATGTTTCTTAGTGTAACGAAATTCTGATTTAATGCTTACAAATAAATGTAAAGCTTCGAGGACTATGAAAAAAACGGGAAGCACTAGCAGAGGGAGGTAACTCAGCAAGGACAATGCTGTTCCACTGGAAACTGTATCTGCTGCCTAAAATGGACTCGCTTGTGGTGCAGCCCAACAACACTTTTGGGTTTGGTTTGATCACCAAAGCGGGGATTTTTCAGCAGCAACTGCCAGAACAGAAACCATTGCAGGGATGAAATAGGGAAGCAACATCCCTGCAGCCAGGCTTTAATTCATGCTAATGTGCAATTAGGGGAGGCTGTGATTGCAGGACCATGTGCCTGACCACATGCAAATCTCATTCCCACCGCGGCAGCCGCCTGACACGAGGCAGGTAATGGATGATCCGAGTTCTTATCACTCAGCAAACTGTTTGGGGAGGAGTTTATTTGTATAAATAGCAGAAAAGAAAAGGAAGATCAGCTCTGAAGGGGTGGGTTACTTGTGAGATGGAGCAAATCCTCTCCTGGTAATACTCTCTGCTCCTGCAGCTCCCACTGGTGTTCCAAGAGCCCAGCCCTGCTGAGAGCACGGAACATAAGGCAGAAATTCTGACTGAGCTGCATTTTTTCCCCTCCCCTGATCTTCAGAAAGGATTGAAAAAAATTGTGGCTGCTGCTAATCATTAATCACTCTGAAACCAAACCTGGCCTTGCAGAACTAACTGTGGCAGTCAGAGCACTGGGGAAACTGGAGTGAGGAAGAAAGTGTTCAGATGGTTTCTAGATGTCTCTAATTTGGGGGTTCCCGTATTTAATTTGTGTGCTTATTTTTTAGTGCCGTAAATTACACTGTTGAGAAGCTTTTCTTTTTGTATCATATGCATTTTCCTTTGGACAATTACATCCAAAATTAAATTTACTATTCCCTGTTCACCCCTGACTGTAATGGTGTCCTTCTACTGCCTTGTCTGTCTGCTGATTCAGTCTGTTCCAGCCAGGAATGAATGAACCTGCATTATGCTACCTAAACCAGGAGAAAAGTCCTGGCTGCAAAGCCTCCATGCTCACCACCAGCACTGAAGCCCCTTCATTGGGGCAGGCAGGGAACCATCTAGAAAGCAGAAAGTCCCAGTATAAACTGGTGAATGCAAACCAAGGATGACAGTCAGATGCTGAAATTTGTCTCTGAACCCTTGGGCTTTTTACACACTTTGTGTCCTGTGATTCCTCTGTAAAAGTGTCACTTAATTGGAGCATGAGGTTCCATTTGCTGATCCCTATCCAGGCTCCTGAAGGTGGGGGGAAAATCACCCAGGTTGTCAGTGATGCTGAGAAATGTCCACGATGCAGCCTGTGCATGGCACGGTCCTGTTTTGATCCCACATTTGCTGTCAGAGGGAAGGTGCTGGACCCTCAGGACAGGGGGCTCCAGGTCCTTCCAGACCTACCTTTGGGGCACACTCCTCACCTCCGCACTCAGCTTCAGGCTCTTTCACTCTCTGAGGTTTTCAAAGTTGTGAAACCAAATCTCGGCAGCTGAGTTTTCCTGACACTAAAAACTCCTGAATCATCTTTTTTAAGGTCCCTTTAGCTGTCATTTTTATACATCTTTTATGCATCTTTTTAGTTTCTCCTTTGGGTCTTTGCACTGGTGTAGTGTTGCATCAACCAGCAGTCGTTTGTGGCTGGCACGAGCACGTGTGAAGGAAACCGAGAGGAACCCTTGTTTGGAGAGGAAATAAAGGTGAACAATCACATGGACCTTACAAACATGTTGGAACACAATAAAACACAAATGGTTTCAACTTTGGCAGTGAGGGAGTAGCATTGTTTAAACACAGACATTTAAAGACCATACAGATAATTTCCAGAGAGGAGAGGACGATCCTGTGGTCTACGTTGCAGCTTGGACATGCCTAAGTCTAGCAGCAGCCCCTCCTTGTGTGTAGGACTGCCTTGCTTTTTGGTATCTGGCAGGTGAGTTGCTGCCTGCACTGGGCTGCCTGTGGGATTTTCTCAGCTGTAACTTTGAAGTTGGCTGTTTTGCCCGTTCTGTGATGTGGTGATGTATGTTTATAGTTTGTGAAGCACCTCGGGGTGAAAGGCCTTCTGTAAATGCTGTTATTCATCAAGAAATAATGGGGCCTGTCCTTTAACTGTGAGCTGGAACCATTCCCAAACCCCACCACCACACTCAGCTGTTTATTATTTTTCCTAGAGCGGCACCCAAGGATGAAATGGGAATGGGGGTGCCTTGTGCTGAATGCCGTGTGAATGGAAATGTCATCTTCTCACCAACCAGAGAGGAAAAGGCTGTGGGAAGGGAAGTGTTTTACACACTGTGCCTGAGAGTCTTTCTTTCTCAGCTCAGCAAGGATGATCAGAGGCCAGAAGGTCTCCACATTTTTCCTCAGACCAAACCTAAAAGCAGGGCCTTACAACAAGCACAGCCCCATCCGAGCAGCTGGACAACCCTTTCCACTGATGATGGCAGAGAATCATCCCAGGGGCACTTCACCCAAGCAGGTTCAGATACCAAATTTAAGCTGAGATGAACCACATCCTTCCTGAACCTGCTTCTCTCCCCTGATTAAAAGAGCAAATCATAAACCAAATCCAGATGTAGGCACTCACAGGCGATTTGCAGGTTGGGATGAGAGGAGCACCCAGGGAGAGAGACTGGGTGCTCCCTGTGGGCAAACACCACTATTCCACTCTGTACAAATGGAAAGGTCCCTCGAGATACCTTGCCCCAACTTTGGGGCTGAGCCACACACCGATCGATCTCCAGCACTGTCCCCTTTTCCTTTCCTTTCTAGGAGATGAAGGAATCAAAGAAGATATGAACCCTCCCAGCTAGAAGGAGTAGTGGAATGGTGGGAGTGTGTACATCCAACCAGAGTGGGACAAGTAGGAACACTGCAGTGAATTAGATGTTGTGTGTCTGACAAGAGACCAGTCAAAGCTGCAACAAACCTCCATTTATGCCTCTGGGAATGTAGCATGTCTTATAGGATGCCAAGGACAGTATTCATGTTAAAAACAAATAAAAAAAGGTCTTCTGTGTGAAATTCATACTGAATGTGTTAGTGCCTCACAGAGGGATTTGGACCTCTTAGGTTTTTGGGCTGTGGATCTCTCAGGGGAATTTGTAGCCTTGGTAAAAGTGCACCTGCTTAAAACTGCGACAGATCATTATGGGTCTAATGCTTAAAACCTGCTTAAAACTGTGACAGATCATTATGGGTCTAATGCAGATGATTAGGTAAAATCCAGCTTCCAGAGCCTGCACTTTGGGGCTGGAACTTGTGCACGAACAGAAGTGCCTGTGGCTTCCCTGCTTCCTGGCTCCTACTGACTCAGAAAGGTTTCAGCAGAGCCTCTCCTCCTTTTGGCATTTTAACATCCCTTTTTGGCAGGGCTCCACCGTATCAGCGGTGTATGAAAATACAGAATAAACCAAACCTAACAGAAGGAAATAATTTTGAACAGCACACGAGGCCCTCCCCATGAAAACACTGGGAGGGACACCTTGTTTAAAGATCAACCCTCTTACCTGGTTCTGCTGCCCATTACTTTGTGTTTCACACACGTCCAAGCCTCTTCACTAAGTCAAAACCAATTTCTTTTGAGTTGGGCCCAGGGTCTTAGAAGCTGGTTGGAAAAAATGGAGATATTAGATAGGTATTAAATATTAGGAAGAAATTCTTTACTCAGAAGGAGGTGAAGCACAAGAACATGTTTCCCATAGAGGTTGTGGGTGCCCCATCCGTGGAAACATTCGAGGCCAGGTTGGACAGGGCTATGAGCAACCTGATCTAGTTGATGTCCCTGCTCATTGCAGGGGGGTTGGACTGGATGAACTTTAAAAGTCCCTTCCAACCCAGCCTATTTTATGACTCTGTGAACTGCAGTGAGATTTTAACTCTTCCTGGGTTGGTCAATGTTTTTTTCTGCCAAGGGGGAACCACTCCCAACCACGGAGAGGAATCCCAGTACATGGTGCAGTGCTGATTTGAACTGGTCCCAATCTCTTCTTGCTGTGGTTATGAAGAGTGTTTTCAGAGACTTTGAGGAAGTTTTGGTTATTTTAGGAATGGCTGCCTCCTACTCCTGGAGCAATTTACCACTATGCCTCCTCCCTGGCCTGTTTACATCTGCCTGGACCAAAAAGCTGTCATTAATAAGGTGGTGTTCTGTTCCACCACGTGTGTCTTTCCTCCTCTAAATCCCATGGACCTGCCAGTGCTCAGCTTTGTGAGCAAACACCACTGCATCAGATGTATCACCAGGCACAGATTTGCCCTGTTACCCACTAGCTTTGCAGCACTAAAATTTGTTGCATCAGTACAAAGTGACATTACCTTATTTTCCCACTGTAGTAATTTATTCTTGGGACTTGGTGCTGATATTTAAAACACCCAACAACCCAATGTAAACACAGGCTCTGACTCAGTCCTGGTGTACTTTAAAAGACACAACCTATAAACATCTCTTCCTGCCGAGGCCCAAACAAAGGCAGAGGGCTTTCCTCTGAGCAGGAGCTGCAAGGTTGGCTTTGAACATCTTCTGCAGATGCTGCAGAGTCCCCTGCAGCCCTCTGCTTTTATCCTATTTCTTCTATGAATTTTATTTATTACTCCCCAGATGTCTGACTGACAATGTTTAATAGCACTCCTCCATCATGCTGCCTGGTGTAGCAGGACAGGTGCAGTGATTTGCCTAAGAGCACCTTCCGAAATGCCACTGGCAGATTTGTTTTATCCATTGAGGCAGATCACATGCCCAAGCAAATTGTTTAATTTCCGGTGGCTGTATGAACACTTTCCTCCTTCATTCTTCATGCTTCTGACAATGGCAGGAATTGAAAATGTTTGTTAACTAAAAGAAATCTGATACAGTTGCCAAAATGGAGTGAGGGGAAGCTGATTTGTATGACTGAAGCATTTAAACTGCTGAGTACAACCTGTGTGTGAACAGCAGTGTGTGCCCAAGAGAAAAGGCAGAGGGGAAAAGAGACCGTGACCCGTTTAGCTGTTAAATACAGAGATATTAAAGCTCTGACTATAGAAGTTGGGAGGTATAGAGAGAGGTGAGTGTGTGGTGCCTGTAAAGGGGATTACAGACCATGGGTTCACATTAAGAGGTGAGCTGCTTCTGGAGCTTTTATCCGTAATAAATGGAAAGAAATACCGGGTAATGGGAGACTTCAATCATAAAGATGTATGCTGGGAGTCTCATATAACCAGAAATAAATCTCTTTGAAGTTTCTCAAATGATGTGTGATCATTTTCTAGCCCAGGAGATATTACACCCAAGACGAGATAACAGTATTTCAGATTCCATCCTGACAGATTGGTCTGTGTGTTGGAAGCTGACAGTGTCTGAGGAGCATATGGCTGGGACTCAGATTCAATAGAGGCAGGAGAGAGGATAGAGGATGGACCAGCACAGTAATGAATATATTGGGTAGCTCCAAAGGGATAATTTCCCAGGACTGAAGCAGCATAAAAGAATGAAAGCTGGGCTTTCTATAAGAGGATTTTACCAGCTGACCAACCACCTTGATTTCACAGTGATGTGAGAGGGCAATTTCCATTAAAATCCCATCCTGCTAAAAAGGGAGAATGTCACTCACTGCAAGACACACAGCTTAATAAACTGATTTGGGCGAATAAAATCTACCTTAAACTGGAGGGATGCAAAGCTGTGCTGTCCCCACACTGCCAGGGCAAGCTGGGGGGCAGCCTGGGGGGGAATTTTGGCCTTTGGTGGCTGAAACGCTGCGATCCCGTTGTGTGTTCAGGTTTAGAAAATGTTGGAGGCTGGGCTGAGCTGGTGTTGGTGGGAGGGAGAAGCTGGAGGCAACCCAAGAACTACCAAAAGTATCTTGTAGCCAGATGTAGGAGCTCTGTCTGTTGGGTTTATCCAAAGAAAACCAAGGGGTGATGTGGTGCCTGTGGGCTTTGTGGGGGAAGCACCAGGTCACTGGGTTGAGAGCAGGGCTAGAGGAGGAGACTGCGCTGTGTGCTGTCAGAATTGAGCTGGTGGCTCTTCCTGCCTTTAAAAATCCTCTGAATCTGCAAGATGCTGGTAAGGACACTGGTGATATTTGATTATACAAGTGGTGTTCCACACCATTTTCTGGAATGATGCAGCATTGTCTGTCACAGGCAGCAGACTCGGCAGGGTGCTGAGAGAGGCTGGTCCCTGCAAGATACGCTTGGGGAACAGTATTCAAAGGCTCTCTGCTTTTGGATGGAGCCTCATGAGCTATCAACCCCAGGCTCAAGCCAGTAGATGGGAACTTTGGGTCCTGGAGTCCTGGCATGCTAGCAGGAGAATGGGAAAAATAAGTTCAAGGTCAGAATTACTGTGAAATGGCAAAATATTGTGGAAAAGGCCGAAGGTTTTATGCAAAGTCGACTTTAGCTATGCCACTACATCCCCCTCAGGGGACCCATATCCTCCTCTTGCAACAGGCAAGTCACTACCTTCCCGTGTGTCCATTGCCTTGGCTGCAATAAAGTATTTCACAGAGCATATTGGCACCTCCAGTGCAGAACAGCTCTTTAAGTGCTTGCTGTTACAATTATATTATGATTCCAAAGCAGGAGAAAGTAGTTTCTTTCCCTTTGCACCAATAATTGAGCTTATCTGGAATGACAAATTGATGGGCTCTGGAAAGAGAGCAGGAGTGATGTCTAAACTGGCCTGAAATTCAGTCAACAGCTTGTAGCATCTCTGAGAAGCCTCCGAGTACTGTGTCTTCTGTCTTCAAAATCATGCAGGAAATCAAAGACAGAAATCTGTGAAGTCTTTGCAAGTGGTCAGATGACTTTATTTCTCAGGAGTTCTCTGGTAACCAAAGCTTTCTTACCTTTTTCCCCCCAAACTGCAGCCCTCTTCTTGAACTCCTATATAAAACTGGATAATCTGTCTCTTATTGCAGTGCTTTCCTGGGGAAAGAAGGGATAAAAAGACACTTAAGATCTATCTGGCATTTCAGAAGGACCATTTCCCAGTGGGTTGACAGGTCTATTTCAGTAGAAAACTGGAAGAAGAGCCTTGACCTTGCTGAAACTCATCCATCTGCAGAGCTCTGTTCCTGCAGGTGTAGGAATCAGACCCCCAGTAAGACCTTCTGTGCTCACAAATCCCTCATGGTCCTCGTGCAGAAGAGCCACTGTGATGTGGGGCAATGAAATCCTTGTTCCCAGCCCTTCTGCAGCTGCCCTGGATTTGAGAGAGAGGGAAGAGCCCCAAAAGACTGAAAACACCATGAAGTGCAGCAGGGAAATAACTCACAGAAAAAGCTCGGCTGTGGCTGTGAGACTTAATCCTTTTGAACTGCCAAACATGTCAAAACTCACTTATTTTGGCCCAATACCACTTTTTTTTTATTTCTAACTTGGGAAGGGCACGGGGGCTCTTTGTCTGTAGTAGGTATTATGAAAGTAGAAATAAAAAGGAGAAGAAAGACCCTTTCAGCTCCCCGTGGCTAATCAGGTATTCACCTTGAGCAAGTACTAATGAAACCAGCACCACATCAAAGGGGAAGCTGGCTCTCCAGTCAAGAAGGTTATTAAAAAATTGAAGAGTACCAGGCAGCCCCCAACCAGCATCAGTGACTGCACTTCCCATTCTGTTTTGTACAGAAAAATGCAGCCCTGTGCTTGTCCTCTCAGCTGCCACCTGCTCGGGGGTTATGGCCATCAAAAAGAGGCACTGGGGGAACCGTCCTTGCAGGCAGGGAGGGTTTTGTGTTCAGGGACTCGGTGTTTCTATTCCATTCTTCACACAGTCGAGTTACCAGAAGGTATAATGCGAGCCAAACCCACCAGGTGCTGACTTGATTTTTGATGTAATGGCAATAGCAAACTCCTTTCTGTCACAAAAGTTAAAATATGTTAAATATTCTGAACTAGGAAAGAAACCAAAACATCCCAATTGGGAACAGAGCAGAAGAAAAATACAGATAATTTTGTGATAGCAATTCACTGGGAATGGGATGCTTCCAGTTTGGCCCCCAGCTGTACGCAAGGATAAGGGGTGAAGAGGGAGTTCCAAGGAGGGATGGAGCTATTCCAGTGCTTGTAGGTGGCTTTGCTGCCACACAATGGGTGTTTATATCAAACAGTGCCGCAGGTGAGGAGCCCAACCTGCCTCTTTCCCAGGGGCAAAGACAGGGCATCTCCACATCCCTCCATCCTGAACTGCAGGATCATGCCCCAGACCTGCTCTTTTGATGACAAGAGCACTGAGATTTCTTGCTGTATGGGCATAAAGGAATCTTTTTTTCCTCCCATCCCAGAGGGATTTTCCACTTGACTTCAATAGTATAAACACTTACCTGCATGCTTGTACACTTGCAGATGGGGGTAAGAACTCTTCTCACAATAAAGACTTAAAATCCTTCATTTTTCGACTGTTTTGGACTCCTGTTACCTGACATGAGGCCCTTTGAGTGCAAGCTGAAAGCATCCAGGGTTTTATCTACAAATTATGGCACAGCCACCCCCAGCTAAAGTGATGCCTCATGTTGGGCCATTCCTTTAGCCAAAAACTCCCCTGTAGGTCATCGACATTCAGATTTCAGAGTAAGCTGATGCCACAAGAATCCACAAGAATCTGCTCCAGTGCACACCTGAATCACGTGATCTTACAAAATGACAGAATTGAAGCAGCCAAACACCTCTCAGCTCCTAAACAAACCCTCTGACATTGCTGTTTTAAAGGGACAAGTTCTGTATCTGTGGAGAGAGTTGGGGTTGTTCAGCCTGGAGAAGAGAAGGCTCTGGGGAGGCCTTATTGACCCTTCCAGTACCTGAAAAAGCTGGAGAGGGATTTTGGACAAGGGCATGGAGTGACAGGGCAAGAGGGAGTGGTTTTAAACTGAAAGAGGAGAGATTTAGATTAGGTGTGAAGGAGAATTTCTTTACTGTGAGGGTGGTAAGGCCCTGGCACAGGTTGTCCAGAGAAGCTGTGGCTGCCCCATCCCTGGAAGTGTTCAAGGCCAGGCTGGATGGGGCTTGGAGCAATCTGTTCAAGTGGAAGCTGTCCCTGCCCATGGTAGGGGATTGAAACAAGATGGTCTTGAGGTCCCTTCCAATCCAAACCATTCTATGATGATTTTATGAAATTGGTTCTAAAAGAATATGCACTGGGAAGTGAAAGCAATGGGTATTTTATCTCAATAAACCCAACCATTCAAAAGCAAAAAGCCAAACCCGTTACTAAGCCACCACTGGGGAAGATGTGTGTTGACACATGAGTTCAAAAGGGGGTAAAAAGAACATGGTAAGAAAGAGAAAGTGGGAACTCTACTGTAAATGGGGAGGCAGAGAGAAGTGCCTTGCAATACTGTTTGCAAGGAGAAATGCCTTTGGGTCTTGCTGAACTCCCACCATGGAAGATTCCAGGGACTGAAATGATAGTCTGAGAGTGTGAAGTCCCTCCCAAGTTACACAGCAGAAGGAGATGTCTCTGGTTGTGGTGGCTGGTTTGGGGGTTCTGCTCACTACTATTTCATGAAAATGTCTATGCCTGTGAAAGGGAGGCAGGAAGGCTCCAGAGCAGCAAGAGGAGGCACCAGGCACCACCTTTGGGATGGATGAGACAGAATTTCCAACAAAAAAGGCATTTTGGCACTGAGTGACAGGGAGGAAATAAAAACAGAGAGAGCAATGACAGCCTGCCATTTGTGTCTCACCTTGCCAGGGAAAATAAGAGTTTAACTCCACAAATACACTGGATTGTGCCAGTTTTACCGGGCTCTGTCATCCATTTCTTTTCCTGCGTTTCAATAACCACGTGGTTTGTATGAGCTGAGCATTAGCTCACTTCAGTCTCCCCACGGTGTTGTGGTTTACGTGGTTCACTGATTTCCCAGAGTCTGGCTGAGGTGCAGATATGCTGATGTTCCTGACTAGGAATAAACCAGGCCAATGTGCTGCAAAGCAGTTAATGTATTTATCCACTCAGTATCCAGTGAGGTAGACAAATGGGTTTTCCATGTTAAAGAGGGTGTGTGGAGTCCAAAGGGGGGAAGAAAAAAAGTGTTATTGAGTGGTACAGAACTGCATACAGAATATATATTTGTGCATTTCTGTATGTGTGAGTTTTCCTAAATTGATGGATTTGGCTTAGAAAATGTTGTTTAAAAAAATCCCCACACAGCCAGGAAGTCTAAAATTGTGTAAAAATTACTTTTAAGCAGAGGAGTCAGATTAGAGTGGTGGAGGGAGTTCCTCAGCCTAGGGCTGGCAGGGGCCTTGGTGGAGGCAGCCTCTCTGCAGCACGAGGGGCTGAATCCCAATGGTCTGAGAGCACTGTGAACCCCATCCTGCAGGAGATCTTGTAATTCCTTCATCCCTGGGCTTGGTGAAGTAGCTCCCACAGGCTGTGCAGAGTCTCACCCAGGAAAGCAGGACCAGCACAACCCATGACACTGACCTCACCAGGGGTTAAGGAAGGAGCCCTGACCTCAAGTATCCTTTTCCCAGCTGTGAGACCTGCTTTTGTTTGAGACCTTTATTGTTCAAGTCCTGCAGAAGAATAGGCTGTCGCTGGGAGCAAGAAGAGGAAAATTGCCACACAGGCAAAAACCGTCCTCGTGTCCTTTTTCCAATAGAACTGGAATTTTTTTGACTGCCTGGTTTCAATAAAAAGCCCAGAAAGGAAGAATTGAAGGGGGCATTGCTTTTCATGGAATGCCAGCAAATAATTGCAAAAAGTTGCTTGTTTTCAAAGAATTGCACGACTTGGGACAACGCAGGGTGCCCAGGGCTGCGCCGACACGCCACATTTGCACCAATCCCAAATTGAATTCTGCTGCTTAACTCTTATCCTTGAAAACTCCTGATCTGGGAATTTATCTTCATCTCTTAAAGCTTCTCCTGCTGCTGGCTCGAGCAAGGACATGGAGAGTGGAAGCATTAGATACTGCTCAGCTGCTCAAGGGAGTGTTGAGCCATAGTGATATTTCTGTATGAAGACTGATCCTGGCACTTGACACGTCACACAGGCATTGGGGCCAGTGCTGATTCCCTTTGGCCACTGGAAGGTGATGCTGTGGTTGGGGTGGAATTGCATCAGCAAACCTCCACTTCCACTTCAAATGTCACCCAAGTAGGGCACTCTCTGCCTCTAACAGCCCCAAAATAACCCTGAGACAAAACATTGCCGAAACATTACAGAAAGTCTTGTATTTATGACTGTAAAAGTACCAGGCATATAGATCAATGCTATACATAAATCATATTAGGTTTTTTCCTCATAATTTACCCTTTATTTCCAGGGAGCACTGTTTGCTTTGTATGTATCTGCTGTATTTGTACAAGGTTAAAGCATTCTGGGTTTTGTAGTCACTGTCACTCAACCAGCAAGCCCCTCAAACTTTTCTGCCTTGCACCCCATGGTAGCTCCTGCCAAATTCCATTTCCATGTCTATTCATGCCACAGAAAATATCACACCTGCTGGCCTCTGGAATGTGTTGGTCATGGGGTTAATCCTCAATGTAGGATTTTTTTTTGGTTTTTTTCATTTCAAATGCCACTCTTTTGGAGCTCTTAGTCCAGACTTTACAAGCTATAGACAATGTGCTGACACCAGAAGCATTGGTGTGGATTTTTGCCACTGAAATTCTTCTGGTAGGTTCACTGTCCCTGCTGGTTCCCTCGAAGGGTCAGCAGGTCCCACGACACTGGCAGTGCCAGGACAAGGCAGGATGTTGGACCCCACATCCCACAATGTGTCCTGCAGGATGCCCTTGCATAAATGTATGAAAAAATTTTGGAGAAATTTTCCATCAAATCTCTCTGTTTCATCCTACAGCAGCTCTGTTTTTGTGCTGTTCTTCCAGTTTGCTACAGAGGCCTCAATGTGTAGTGACCGTCTGAGCATCATCTGCATTATAATCCCAGGAGAACACAGTTTCTTCTCAGCAGGATCAGCTGGGAGGCTCCTGAGGGCAATGACAGGAGAGCCTACAAATACCACAGGCATTTTCCCCAGTTTGGGGCCAGATGGGGTAATGCAACCCCCTCAGTGCCAGTGCAGCTCTTCTTCCTCTGAGTTCAAAAAGCTTTGTCAAAAACCCCGGAAAAACTTTGCAGAGGCAGAGGAACAGAGAGCAGAGGGATTGCTGCTGGGGGCCTGCAAAACTGCTGTTCCCACTTGGTGGGGAATTGCAACAAAACATACCAAAGTCAGTTGTTTTGAGGAATATGTAGCCACAGGTGGCATTCCAGCTTTCCCACCCACGGCTCAGCTCGTGGTTTCCCACCCATGATTCCATCATGAACCACCCTACAAAGCACACCCTCTCTTTAGAACAGCGCAGGGGAAGTGGGAGGAAGGCTCCTGCTGTGTACCCTGGACCACAGATAAATAGAGATTATAATAATAGTGATAAATAGCGATAACAACAGTGATAAATGGCAAAGAACCTGGGCCAGGGGTAGGTGGTAAAAGGCAGCAGAAGATAACTCTGTGCTTGGTCTTTCCCACCCCGAACACAGAGGAATGTGGAAAGCCTTGCAGACAGCACTGCTTCATCCACCACTCACAATGTGCTGCCTCGGGGTGTTTTTAACCTTCCTGCTCAAGAAGGGGAGGGCAGATTGTAGGAGCTGGGGTGGAATATTCAGGATGGCAAATTGCTGAGCTTCTCAGAGGCAATCGTGGGCTCATAGAGGAAAAGAAGACGACACATGAGGGAGGTTTGTGACTGGCTGGACCTCGTCCTGCTGCGCTCCCAAAAACTCTGACTCCAGGGAATGGCGTGGGAAGGTGTCCTGCCGTAACGAGAGAAATAAGACAGCTCTGCCTTGAAATGTCTGGGCAGAGATTAAATGCGACTTGCTGGAAGAAGAAATCGCTGTGATATTGTGCCAACGGGCCGCAGAGCTGTTCGTGTTCGGATGGATTCTCCCTGGGAGCGGCAGGGGCCCCGCGCCTGCCAATTAGTGAGTTTGGGGAATGCGTCCCGCGCTCCTCCCCGCTCCTGCAGCAACGCAGCTCCCTGTGCCGCTGCCCCTCCTGGGGCTGGAGCATGTTCTGCTCTTCCAGGGGCCGGGAACTCATCGCTCCATTTTTTTTCGTAACATGATTTTCTTAGTTCAAAGCAACCAGTGCTTGTTTTAATTAACGAATATGTTTCTCTTTTCTTGCTTCCTGGCTCCTTGCCTGCTCCTGCGTTTTCGTGCCTCGAGAATAAAATGTTTCATTCAAAACAGAATCCTCTTTGTCCCTGTGTGGCCGCTGCTCGGAGAGGTGAGGGAGCTGGGGAGGCGGCAGCAGTTTCGATTTTGGGGGGTGGAGGAGCAGGGAGGGAGAAATGGGCCGGATTACAGAAAAACTGCCAAGAAAAGACAAGTTTTGTAGCACTCATCTCACTTAACTCTTCCCATTTTTCCAAGAGCCGTGGCAAATCCTATTTATGCAAATCCTCACCTTAGCAGCTTTCAAATATTCTTAGAGCCACTGGTGTGAACGAAAGTGGAAATTGGAAGTACATAATCCCAGCCAAACCCTACGTACCTGTGGAGCTCACTGCAAAACGTGTGAGTAATGATGTGGCACATTTCACTGGTGTTTGCTGACCGCTGCCCCCGGCACCAGCTGTTTTTTCACAGCTCTGCTTTAGCTTATCAGCCCTCCCTGATATTGGGCTAAATTCCAAATAAAGCAGGGGAATCAGCTGGCAATTCATTTCATGTGTAGCATTTTTTTCCTCCACACTTAATTGAGCATTCCACTTCGAGTAATCCTCGGCATTAGATTAAATCTCTATTGATCTCGCTTTAATGAGCTCACCACTGTGACCAACAGCCCCTTCTCCCGCGGCAGATGGAGACGTGGCCATCCAAACGTGTGGCAGAAACACCTTGTTTAAGAGGACTGACACCTTCTCCTCCGTACAGCCATCCTTGGCACCCCTTTGCCCCGGAGTCTGCAGACCCAAAGCCAGCAGATACGCCCTGTTCTTTGCACCGTGCCTTTGTGAGACTCCTATTGCAGGGAATTTCTGTATAAACACTGCCAAGAGCTTCCTGCCTAGAGATTTCACCCCTGAGCAGGCAATGTCCATGTCCATCAGTGTGAGGGCAGGTAGCTGGAGGCTCTGTGTGAGCTCTTTCCTGTGCCACAGGGAAACCAGGAATACTGGAGTGCTTGCAGCTCTCACTGCCTGCTTAAGGGGAAATATTGCAAATTCAGGTCTGGGCAAATCAATCTTGTGAGCTACAGAATTGATTCCAGTCTTGCATTTAAATTTCGACTTGAGGATAAAATATAAAAAGAAGGAAATCTCCCTTTCCTCCCTTGTGATGAAAAAAAAAGTGATTAATGAGTAAATCCTAATGACAAACACATCCTAATGACCCAGCACTTTATGATTTGCTGCACCGTAGCATTTTGTAGACTTCATGGCCCAGCTGATCTTTAGGGTCAGCTAATTGCACCTTCTACCTGGCAAAGGTCATGGGCATTTCCTGGGTGATTATTGCATACAGCCCAACAGCTTGTGTTGGAACTGAACAGTTTAACCCTGTTTGAAAAACCCTGATGTACAGATGGCAACATGGGGTGTTCTTGGGGAGGGGGTGGGGACCAGTATAGTGCTATGGAAAAGACAGTTTAATTGAAATCTCATTCCCACATGGTTTAAGAGCTTGTATCATCAAAAGATGTCATAAACTAAATAATGCATTAAAGCTCTATGCCCAGTTTTGGTGGTTTTGTGACAAGTGGTGTTGCTCAAGCACAGCTGAGATGCAGCCACCGAGGCAGGGACGTTGTCTCATGTGTTTTAACTAGGAGTTTGCAATGTGAATTTGCCAGCACTGCCCATCATAATGTTCAAGTTTGGTTATTGCTCACTTGCTTTTTTCCTCTTTCTTATCTACAAGACACAATATGTCTTGCATCAGCAGATTGTGATTAATAGTCATGATGTGAAATGACATTAATTAGCAATAGCTATTGCTAATGATTAATAACAGCAGCTAAGTGAAACCTTGGCTGCAGTGATTTATTTTGGTACTTTTATTGAGCTGTGCATCTGGCAATATTGGGATGCTGTAAGGGCTTCAGGGGGGAATGTCTGTGTGGGGATGTGAAGAGCTGAGAAACATGTTGAGTAAAGCAGGTGAGTGGACATGTCCCTCCTTATCCTCATGATCCACTAGGAAATTTGGGTGCTTCAGTGGGATGGAAGATGGAAGCTCATCAATGCAATGAGGCTTCAGCACAGGTCATAGAATCATGCAATGTTTTGTCTTGGAAGGGACCTCAAGACCATCTTATTCCATCCTTCCTGCCATGGGCAGGTACACCTGACCAGCTTGTTCAGGGCCACATCCAACCTGACCTTGAACACTTCCAGGGATGGGGCAGCCACAGCTTCTCTGGGCAACCTGTGCCAGGGCCTCACCACCCTCATAGTAAAGAAATTCTTCTTCACACCTAATCTAAATCTCTCCTCTTTCAGTTCAAAACAACTCCCTCTTGTCCTATCGCTATCTGCCCATGTAAAAAAAGTCTCTCTCTTTTTTTATAAGCTTCCTTTAGGTCCTGGAAGGTACTCTAAGGTCTCCCCGGAACCTTCTCTTCTCCAGGCTGAACACCCCCAGCTCTCCCAGCCTGTCTCCATAGCAGAGGTGCTCCATCCCTTTGAGCATTTTTGTGATCTTCTCTTTTTTGTGCTGGGGGGCTCCACAGCTGGATACAGTGCTCCAGGGGGGTTTCACAAGGGCTGAGTAGAGAGGGAGGATCACCTCCCTCAACCTACTGCCCACCTAGGTCCCCTATAAACTGTGAATTCCAAAAGTGATCAGGGAGAAGGCTGTAATTACTCATGTTGGAATGAGAGGTGGGATCACCTCTTGTGGGGTGTCACAGGATTTTTAAGACACAGAAACCCTGTCTGGGGTGTAAGAGCTTTCGTCCTGGTGCTGAATCTCTGTGTGCCCACCTGGAGAGGAATTGCTCTTCCCTTCCATGAGACATTGAGGCCTCGCTTCAGGAATGATGAACTGGAGCCAGGTTTGGATTCCTGATGAAGTCCTGCCTCAGAGACCAAAATGTAAGTTGTGTTGTACAGATTTTATGCAGCTCCTTCACAGGAAAATGTTGTTTGAATGCCTGTAACTTTGACATTTAATAGGAGACAAGCCAGAAGCACAAAGCAATAATCTCCACTGTTGCTAGGAAGGACCTGAAGGAAATTCCATCTTGAACATCCCTGCACTTTGGTAAAACAAATTGGAAACTAGAATTTGCAATATGGGAACATAATTGTTGTTTATTACTCAGCTGAACAGAACGGGCCCCTCTTCAGCATGGCCTTAGTGCTGGTTCCACCTTCTGGGAGAACTAACTAGCATTTGGATTAAATACAATTATTCCTTTTTTTCTCCTGCTTCCTATTAATTATATGCAATTTACTCTGAAAAGATCTGTTACTGTGCTAATCTTAGCAATCGCTGTACTGCAAGCAAAAACATTGCACAACCCTCTACGTCTGTAAGTGCTTCCAGAGATGAAATTTCAAATTAAAAAGCAGCAACAAAAATATCCTGGACCACTGCTACAGTTTCCCTCTGTGGCACAAAGGTTTCTAAGAGAAACATTTTCCTTTATTTATAGCCACTCCTGCTACCACTGCAGTTGTTCCTGTGGTCTATTCTTTCTAATTTAAGTTGCAGTACCCGGTTATTTGATTTGTCTCCAGTGAGCCACGCAAAGGGATGATGCAGGCGGTGTAATAATAGTCTGTGCTGGGCAGGGACTGACGGTCTGGGTTACACAGAAACGTCCCACAAGCCTGGAGGAAGTGTTGGGCAACTGAGAGCTGAGGGGCTGGAAACCTTTCAGTGAAGAGCTGGTGGCTGGAGTCCAACTGCAGGTTAAGTGTGATGGAAAGATGGTTTCTGAGCATTGAGAGATTCTGTAATGCCTTGAAAGGTGCAGATGAGAAAATGAGCGTAGAAGGGAATGTGAAGGGGTGAAAACCCATTCACAAAACCCCCAGAAGAAAACCTCAGAGAGCACAGCTGCCAAAGTTTGACTGACAAGAGTCAGAGGTGGCTCCTACACCGCAGGCTGACTTTCTCTGCAGGCTTTGTCAGAGCTTACAGACAAGGCTGTGGGAGGGAACCCTGACCTCCTGTGGCCCATGTCAGAGCATTTTCGGGAGCACTGGGCTGGCAGTGGTCAGGTAACTGCCACCCACAGACATAAAGGGCCAAGATGACCTTCTCCTCTGACATCCAAGAAGCGAAGGCCTCAGAGGGCCCTACACTGGAACCAGTAACTTTCAAGCCAGTTCAATCAACTATTTTAGAACCAGGCACTGTCTTTGTAGTGATCTTTGTCAAGTGCTTTGAAGCCCGTTACAAGAAACATCCATTTTTATTGCCATCCCAGCTCGTGATAGTCTGTGACCTGGAAGGTCCAAAGGATCAAGCCAACAATGAGATGAAGTTAGAGCAATGATCCTGGTGGAGTTGCAGTCCAGCCAACCTGCCTAAGCAGCTACCACATCCTGAAAATTCACAGGCGTGGGATCACAGAATCCCAGAATATACTGAGCTGGAAGGGACCCACAAGCATCATCAAAGTCCAAATCCTGTCCCTGCACAGGACAGCCCCAAGAATCACACCTTGTGCCTGAGAGCATTGTCCAAATGCTTCTTTAGCTCTGGCACTCTTGGTGCTGTGACCACTTCCCTGGGGAGTCTGTTCCAGTGCCAGGATCCATCTGACTATCGATGGATGTACAGTGTGGGTGCTGAGAACTCACTCGGGTCACTTTTGTAATCAGTAGGGTGAGAGGCACCTCCCAGTGGAACAGAGGGTGTAACTAATGTCCGTTTTGCAGCCCACGGGCTGCACAGAGGAGAGATCACAGAATCATAGAATGAGTTGAGTTGGAGGAGACCTTAAAGATATACTGGCACAGCCACTGGTTTTGTGTTTCCTGTTGGTTTATTCCATCCAAGCCCCAGGTCAGTGTCTGTGGTGTCATGTTGTCCGTACAAAATGCCTTGCTCTCCCCAGGGACTGCAGAAGGATTTTGGCATCCCTCACTGGGCTTTTGCATCTATGGTGGGACCAATTTT